TTCGAATATTGATGTTACTCAGTCTCTTTCTGCAAACTATCCTCGACATTTTTGGTCGTCGGCGGAAGTGCTTTACTGGATTCTGGCTTCGTTCTGTTGTTTGGTTAGCATACTTGTCAGCAGACTTGGTGGCAACTCTATCATTGGGGAATCCTAGCTCGCAGCCAAACCAACTCTGCAAATCCTAACATGATTCCTGTATTTTGGGCTCCAATCCTTCTTCTTCAACTCGGTGGCCCTGAAACTATTACAGCTTATTCATTGGCAGACAATGAATTATGGCTAAGGCGCCTTCTTGAGCTAGTAATCCAAGTTGGTGCGGCTTCTTATGTCCTGTTCAAGTTATGGAGCAAGGATACAATCATATTTGTAGCCATTCCCATCTTTGTTTCAGGAATTATTAAGTATGGGGAGAGGATTTGGGCTTTCAGGTTAGCAACCTTAGAGGATTTTAGCATCAGAAGAGAATATATATCATCCAGCAGCAGAAGTGCATATGAGGTCAGAATTGTTCGTGAAGCTCGTCATTTGGTCAAAGCGTTCTAGAAGCTGTCCACAAATTTTCTTGTCTTCGATTTTGATCAAAACAAGACCTATGATTTGGTTTTTAAGAAAACTGCGGAACAAGCCTTCCAGTTGATAGAAATAGAGCTGGGATTCCTGTATGATCGGATTTATTCTTAGATGACAGAGATTTCTTGGCCACGCCTCATTCTCCACTCTATCACCTGCTTATCCTCTGTTTCTGCATTAGTCATCTTCTCAATGATGACGACGAGAAAGAACGTCTATTCAAAAAAGGATACGATGATATCTTACTTGTTGCTGGTTGGAGCTGTCTTGCTTGACTGTTATTCTATCACTGTGCTTCTCTTGTCCGACAGGGCTGTGATTTGGCTTACTAGTAGCAAAGTAGTGGCGATTTTCTGTATCGAATCAATTGTCTTTCTCCCTCGTGGATCATGATCAACTCAAACGAAATAAGTAAAGAAAAAAAAATTCAAAAAGTACAGACACTATATGCTTCTCACTTGTTTTTAGTAAATAACTGAGCTATCAGTGGGCCTTACCCATTGTAATAAATTAAATCTATAAAATACCAAATAAAATAATTTATTATAGTCTACTATTAATGAGATTTTTTTTATATGATAATACCAACTCATCACTAACTTTCTTCTTATAAATAATGATTATGGACATGTTTGTATTATGGTTAAATTATTGTTATTTTACTATTTTTTAAATAAAAATTAAATTAAATTTTTATATATTAATATCAAAAATAAATTGTATAAAATAAAAAATATGTTATTTTAATATATTTTAAAACATAACTATTAACCTATCTGACCTAGTAAAATAAAATAAAAAATTTAATTTTGTATTTTTAATTATGTTTTATTTAAAAAAATTAGTGTTTAACATTATTCAATAACACTAATGATAAACTAGACAGAGATCGCAATTATAATTTTATTCCTGATGATATTTTACTTGATATTGTTGCTCGCTTAAAAAACTAAGGAAACAATAGTCCTTGTCGAATATATTTCACACATAATGAAATTATAGATAGTTTAATATTAAAAAAATAAAAAAATATTTTGTATAAAATTTTATTTATTTTATGATTTAATAGAAGTAGTTAAATTTACAATATTTAAATTAAAAACTATGAATGTTAATATATATTTTTTGAAATTATTTTACAATTTCAATTTAAAAAACATTCTTAACTAAGCACATTAAACTACTCTGTTATTTAATTTCAATTTCAACTACAATTTTAACCAAACATATATAAATACCAAACCAACCTCAACCAAATATATTTTTTATAAAATAATTTTTATCAAATCACAACAAAAAAAACTATCATAATACTAACCAAACATGAAATGTATACATGGCTATCTTTTTTTAATTTTTAATAAATAAAAAGAATTTCTATTACACTGTGCTGGATCCAGCCAGCCGTATGGTCTTGGGCTGGATACATCCCGCCCGGCCCGCTTACTGGCACATACCAGTATTAGGTTAATTAAATTTGCAAAACAGATAGGGAGAAGATGGCTTACCTGCTGCTCGTTGCTGGGGAACTGGGCTTCCTCCTTCTGCTTTCTCCTCCACTTTGTTTCTTCTTCTCTTGTCTTTATGTTGTTCTCTCTCTCTCTCTCTGTCGTTTGTTCGCTCTGTTCTTCTGTTTCTCTCCTTTTTTTCTCTCTCTTTTTTTTTTCCTCTCCTTTTTCTTTTTTTCGTCCCCCTCAGCCATAGCTGCTTTGGTGGGTTCTCTAGGCGTTGGTGTTTGACAAGGACTCGAACTCCCGGAGTCCTGCCATTGCAAGGGTATGGGTGGTGGTGCCTTCCCGTCTCTATGACCTGCCAATGGTGGGAACGGTTTGAGAAGGTGGTGATGGCGGTCGTGGAGACCGATCATTGCACGCATGGGTGGTCTGATCGGCAAAATTAACTTTTAATTTGTGTTGTTTAGATCCAAATCTCATTTTTTTTATTCATTTTATTTTTTTGATGGATTTATTTTTATCAAAAATTGAGTTATAACAATGTTCGTAACGAAATATGTGATAGAAAAATTTTCAAGAACAGTCACAACACAACTAGAAGGCGAAATGTGAAATTTTTTTTGAACAATTATATTGTCCATATGTAGGTACTGGTTACACGTACAAAAATTTAGTATGAGGAATTAAATATAGTCCAGCTTTATTTAAGGAGATTGAATTTTAAACTGTACTATTATGATCTTTCCAATCTTTTCTAGAAAGTTATTTAGTGAAAGTGTTATTACAGTGATATATTATATTGTATATGTTAAAGTCCATTTTAAATGTTGATAGTCTAGAAAGTTGATCTGCGAAGGGCCGATTGGGCTTTGCATGTTGAAGGGTATGATGGAAATGTGATTTTTTTAGAGATGCTAGATTCAGGTTAATTGCAGAAGATTGACATCATATTTTGACTAAATTAATATGTTATTAAGCATACGTGAGCAATATGAGAAAACCTGGAGAACATATAAGTGGCTTTTCTGTAAGCCTATACTTAGAGAAAGGCCTAGCTGATCATTCATGGCTACAAAGCTCAAAAGAAGAATGAAGTTAATTAGACAAGCGTGAATACTCTTTATAAGTGGCATGGAAAGTTATCTGGTTGAAATGATCCTCTAGTATATGAAGAGGGCTGCCTTGTTGACTCTGGTGGTTGAACCAGTTCATGACTTGGACATGGTTAGATAATTTTCTTAGGAAAACTAGAAAGATTTGGCAAGTAGCTATAAACTTGACCAGGAGCTCGTAGATAATGACAAACATAAACATTGGAGATGACTTGATGTGCATCCAGAAAACGGATAAAGTAGTCGATGAACACTTTTCGTGAGGAAGCGTTCAACCCTGGTTTATAGTAACAGTTACTACTTGGTTTTCTCTGGTGGAGAAGTAGATGTAGACAACTTCATCGATGAGGTATAATCTATGCTGGGTTAAGCTTGGAAATGTTGCAGGTTGTAAGCATTTGGTTTTAGCTAGCACGAGCATCTGATGGGAAGACAGACTATGCAGATCAATTGCTGTTTCTCCTATCCAATAATATTGGCGGCTGCTCCGTGGATGTAGATAAATTGCTGAAACATGTTAAACTTGTTGTGCTTAGCCTCTGAGCAAAAATCAACGGTTCTTTGTGGTCCTAACAAGTGATATCAAAGCTCTGGAATTATCAACAAATTGGTATCAAAGCTTTAGTATTCCCAACAATAATCATAGGCTAATTAGAAGCCTGCAGCGTACAGCTTTACCTTGTGACAAGAGAAAGTGAATTATTCTGAAAGAAAAAATTGTCCTCTTTTGTAAATTGTAAGCAAACATTGTTACAATTACTACTAGCTTTAATTTTGCTGCCTAATCATTTAAAGTTTTGGCTTAATTGTTACAAAAGCTGTTCTTTCTCTTTTTGAATATCTGGGATTTCCTTCTTTGGAATTTTAATTTTCTTTCAATAAAATGAATTTTCTGTTTTCATTGGGGGAAAAAAAAAGTGGTCATGTGACCTCCAAGTGGCCTTTTCAACTTTTAAGACCCTGTTATACCCCCAACTCTCATTACAAAAAACAGGAAGTTTAAGCAAGATATTGAAAGAAAGATTGGTTTATCTCTGTTTTAATTTTCTGATAAAAAAGAGAGGCAAAAAGCCACAGGCAAGGGTCCAAGCTTAACCAATCAACACAAGGAAACATGAAGTAAAGCCCCCAAGTTGGACTCCCTATACAAACTACAAAAAGCGAAGGCTAAAATTGACAAAATCTATCTTGACAAGCTCATGACCTTATGTATGTTTACAGAAAGTTTCAGTACAATACTATTCTACATGCCTTCTGACGATAGTTGACGTTTGCATGAGAATTGTTGCTTCTAAGGAGGGGAAGAAATTTATGCTCTCTTTTTGGAAGATTAACAACCATGAAATATACGTATATGCGTGTATTTGATAGTGCTAGCTGATCAACATTGATGAATTTAGCTTGAAATAAGAAAAAGGTCTTTTATTTATTTATTTGTTTCCGGTTCAAGAATAAGCTTTAGTTAATTTGGTAAAGCGATCCAACATGTATTTTTTAAAAATTTAAATTTTATTTATATTTAAAATTAATATTTTTTTAGTGTTTTAAAATATTAATACACAAATATCAAAAATAATTTTTAAAAAATAAATAAATATTACTTTGATGTATTTCTGAGTAAAAAATATTTTAAAAAATAACCGTAATAACATTTCTAAACATACCTAAAGAATTTTATTTTAGACATGAAAAAATCTTTTATTCTTTCTTTCTTTTTTTCCTGTTCAAGAATAAGCTTTTATTTCAGCTGTAAGAATTTATAGTCGTGAATTGCATCTTTAAAGAACTGGAAGCTTACCGAAGTTTTAACTTGTGATGAAAGTAAAATATTTATTCCATTTTTTCTTATAAATAACAACCTATGATTTCAGTGCTTTGAATAAAACACACTTTGCTGGCACAGCAATTGAAGCAAAACTCAGGTTGTTCGTCGAGTCCTCGAGCATTATTCTTCAGGTACGTTGAGATGGGAGTGAATGTGTCTATCTTCTATTTCTTTTATTTTATATTTGTACTTGTCAAAGGAGACGACAGCTGAAACCAAATTTAAGATGGGAAAATAAATGTTGGTTTAATATGTAGGTGGCACATTCTGTTATATAATCATGAGAATTATTGAGCATAGTAAAGGGAGCTCACGCAGGGAAATTTGTGAGTTTTTTTGTTTTAGATAACCATCGAGAGAGGAAATATGAGAGTGATTCATGTTTTAAATTCATGTTGGCTTGTTATCTGAATTACTTGAATTATAATCACTTAGTAGATTATGTGATTACTATCATTATCATTTTCTTCGATGTTTCTTTAGTTCAAGGTTATTTCTTTTATCTAGAAGTTGTGCTAATTAAGATTTTTTTTTATTATTATTATTATTTTGGTTGTTGGCACTTGTTCTAATGGAAGGAAATCAAACTAACATGGGCATCCATAAGGTGTTCGAAAGTGTTGAAGAAACCTAAATTTGATTCACTTAAATACAATAGGATGGCACTATCACATGACATATATAATTGACTACCGAAATAATAATGTTAATTACTAAATTAATTTTTATGAGTCAAATAATTTAATCAAATATTTTAATGATAATTAAAATTTTAAAGGTAGATAATTGGAAGCACTAAATGCATATAGGATTTTCTTGAATCCTAGTAAATATATTATGAATTACTTTTCATATATAATTAATGTTTTTGTGATTTCAGGGTGTTTTTCATGGTTAAATTGTTTTAAAAAATATAATACGTTAAAAAATCAATTCAATTCAAAATCTTAAACTGTTATATATATAATATCTCAAGATATAATTTATATTATTCTTTAATATTTCCTTTCAAGTAAAAGCTCTTTACACTCAAAACTTACATAAACTCATGCTACCTTATAAAATCGTAAGATATAATTTATATTATTATTTAACATAATAATGATTGTTTCCATAAGATTTTTAGCTTTTATTTTATTATTTGAATTTATTTAATGTTTTTTTTAAATCTCAACTAAAAAATTTATGTTGTTAAGTGAAATTCTAAAATATAATTTATATTATTTTTTAAAATATTAAGGATCATAAATAATTAACTGATTTAATTGTATTCTTATGGTATTTTTATAACATAATTTTTAATGCTTTATTTTGTATTAGAAATGTTGTTATGTAAGTAAGTTTTCTATTAATTCATCTGATTTCTATATTTATTTATCTCATGTTCTTATTAGCAATAACAATTGCTTAATATATCTCTCCTATTCGTAAATAATTAACTAACAATCCAGCCCTAAACTTGACCAATATCTTATCAGCTTTTATTATTTATACTTCATTAATATATAATCAATAGTAGAATTAATAGTCATCCCACATTTTTTTACTTTTTATTTTAATATTCCACTTAATAAATACTATTATTATTTATTTATACAAAATTCTCAGATTAAAAATATTGATGTAAGTTCATGAGAAAAATAAATAAATACATTTAGAGAAGTTACCTTTTTATTTATAATACTTGTATGTGGTATACATTTTTATCAAGTTTTGTGTACATTATTTTGACTTGGTGAAATTAATTCGTGATTGTTTCGTTAACTAGAAAGAAAAATCTAAAACTCTAACCAAATATATATAACGGTGCTAGCTATTCAAAATTGATGATGTTAGCTTGGGACAAGAAAAGTAAATAATTATGTGGTAGGTGCTCAATTTCTTACACTTTTCTTGAAGTTTTGGGTTGAGTTTTTTTTCCTGTTCAAGAATAAGCTTTGCTTTTAGTTGTAAGTACTTATGTTCATGACGAGCAGCTTGCTTTAACAGCTAGCTTACCTGAATTTTAACTTGTGATTAAAGTATTATTCTGTTTTTTCTTATCAATAACTACTTACGATTTAAGTGCTAAAATATATGTATACAAATTCATAACGTCACACCATTACTGTAAATAAAACACAATTTGGTGGCACAGGAATTGAAGCAAAACTCAAATTGCTCGCCGAGTCCTCAAGCATTATTCTTCAGGCACGTTGAGATGTGAGTTAATGTGTCTATCTTCCATTTCTTTTATTAAATATTTATTCTTTTCATAGGAGAAGAGAACTGAAACTAAATTCATGATGGGATAATAAATGGTGGTAGAATATATAGGTAGCACGTTTTGGTAATTAATCCTGATAATTTGATTTGTTGAGCATAATTGAGATTTGAGGGAGCTCAGGAAGGAATTTTGTGGGTGATTCCTGTTTTAAATTTATGCTGGTTTTTTTTTTTTTCTGAATTACTTGAATTATAATCACCGTGTAAATTGTTATGTGATTACTAGCATTTTCTTTGATGTGCCTTTAGTTGTGCTGAATATGCCTCTTTTTTTTTGGTTGTGGGCACCTGGTCTAATTGAAGGAAATCAAACATGGGCATTCATAAGGTGTCCGAAACTGTTGAAAGACTATGGAACGGATGGGAGCTTCGCATGGTGATGTTGCTTAGTCTCTTTCTTCAAATTTTTCTTATAATCTTTGGGCGTAGACGAAAGTATACGGCAGGATTCTGGCTCGGAATTCTTGTTTGGTTAGCATACTTGTCAGCAGATTGGGTGGCAACATTTTCATTGGGTATCTTGGCTCAAAAGCTTGGAGATTCAGAAACGAATTGTATAAATTCAAATCGAGGATTGATCCCGGCATTTTGGGCACCGGTCCTCCTTGTGCACCTCGGTGGCCCGGACACTATCACCGCATATTCAATGGAAGACAACGAATTGTGGTTAAGACATCTGTTGGTGCTAGGAAGCCAAGTTGCTGTGGCTTTTTATGCCTTTTCGAGGTCATGGTGGAGTAAGGATCCTCTGTTATTTGTAGCCATTCCCATCTTTGTTACTGGAATTGTTAAATATGGAGAAAGGAATTGGGTTCTGAGGTCAGCAAGCTCGGAGCAGATCAGGAAATCTGAATATAGTGAGATGAATGAATTACGTCTCAAATTTGATGAATTTTCAAACTCCGAGTTGTTTGGAATGACTGCTGAACGACTGACTGAAAGACTAGGCTTGAGAGACATAATACCTGAGGCTAAATTTCTCCACGAGGCAAAACTGTTTTTTCAGATGTTCAGAGTACTATTTGCAGATCTTGTTCTTGCCGATTCTAATCATTTGGCTACTCATATTATCCTAAGAGACAAGAAAGCAACGGAAGCCTTCAAATTAATTGAAGTTGAGATGGGATTTATGTACGATGTGCTTTATACGAAGGTGACGAGGGTTTGTTCGTCACGCATCATTTTTCGTGCTCTCAGCTTCTTATGTTTTGTTTCTGCGCTACTTGCCTTCTCACTAGGTATGTCCAGAAACAACCATGCCTATTTAACAACTGAAATAACCATATCATACTTCTTGTTGGTGGGAGCCATCATTATTGAGATTTATTCAGTAGTTTAGCTTCTTTTCTCTGACTGGGCAATGCTCTGGCTTAGTGGGCAAAAGAAGCCATTTTTCAATTCTGTGTATCAAACTATTTCACGATTCCTGTCATTTCTTCACAATGACAAAAGGTGGGCAAGATCAATGGCACAACACAACCTGATAAAATCTCAGTTAAGTGAAAACTCCTTGACCAGCATTTCTCTTAAGAAGTTGCTTGGGAAAAGCCACATTCTTAGTTGGGAGGATATCAGTGCTGATATGAAACATTTGATCTTCCAACATCTCCTAGATAAACGTACAAGATATAGTTATCGGATGCGCTATCATGATCCAGGAAAGAATGATTTACATGAGATATTATCAGAGAGAGGTGATCAGGTGATCGGAAGAGAGGGATGCCTTGAAAAAATTGGTGGAAGTGTGAAATCTCCAGATTTTAATGACAGCCTCCTTACGTGGCACATTGCTACCGATATTTGTTACCATGATGATGTCCGAAAAAATGGTCATCCAAACACCAAAATGAGCATATCGTTTTCCAATTACATGGTGTATCTTCTGCGTGATTGCCCCTTTTTGCTACCTAGAGGGATCGGTAAAGAAAGGTACACCCAAACCTGCAGCGATGTCAACCAACATTCTGAATTATTGCTCAATATCATCTCTGGTCGAAATAATTCATGGGATTCCTATGAGACTATTTTGCAACTTGAAGACAGCTCGGGTAAAGTGTCGGTGCTGTGCGCTGGTTTCAAGCTTGCCAAGTCATTGCAGTCACTTGAGACACAGGATGGTTGGGAAAATAAACGAAAGTGGGAGATGATAAGCACGGTTTGGGTAGAAATGTTAACGTACGCTGCAAGTCATTGTGGATGGAAAGAGCATGCTCAAGCACTAACACGAGGTGGGGAGTTACTCACTCATGTTTGCCTTCTCATGGCTCATCTTGGCTTGAGTGAGCAATGCTTAACCAATTGATGCTGCCTCCATATGTACCCGGAAAGTCCATTGAATGATCTTGTTTTAACTTGCAGTCATTTTTGTTTTCCTCCGTCTTTGACTCCTGGACTAGATTAAGTTTGGAGTTCTTATTTTAATTATCAGGATGTTATTTGGTTTTGAGTGTGCAAGTGTGACTTTGTTTTCTCTTAATAATGTTGTTAATAATCAATTTTAATATATATTTTGGAGTGATATATATATATATATATATATATATATAAATAATATAAATTAGCTTCACATAACAACTTAAACTATTGAGTTGAATTTTTTTTAATATGGTATTAAAATTATGATGATTAAACAATCATGAAATTAAATTTTATTATTCTTATTCTCTTTTCTAATGAAAATTTAATTACTAGCATAAAATAGTATGGATTTGTACAAATTTTAAACCTAAATTCTTTTTCTTTAAAGAATATGTTAGAGAATATTCTTAGTTGTCATGCCTCCTTCTTTAAATAGAAAAATAACTATTCAATTATCTTATTTAAGATAACTTTAAGTAACTATACACTCATCCTCTTCAAGGTAATTACCCACTTATTTCTTATTTTAATGATCTTGATCTTATATCATATAGATTTTTTATATCTTCTATTTATTATCCACATTCAAGTTTAGTCTGCAATCAAGTTTGGTATATTCTTCTTGGTCTAAGCTTCATAACGTTTTAGTCAATTTTAGTGTGTATATAACAATCCTCACTATTAATGCTCTTGCACGTATAATAAATCATTATGAAAGAACAACATAACCTCTCTCTTGTAACTTGTATGTAATCATCATTCTACAGGAGTTCAATATCAAAGTTCTGTGCTTGTGATATTGTTTTGAGAAATTATGCCAAAGTAAGGTATCTAGATAACCCAAATTTTCAGGAAACAGGACTTGTAAAACAGCTCAGTTGACTGCAAATTGTAATTAAACAACATACTTCTTGTTTGATGTAGGTTCTATTGTATCTGCCTCAATTAAAATAATATTACAAACTTAAGATTTGAATTTTAAATTAATTGATTTAAACTCTAGATTTAATTATAGATCTACTCATGTAATTTTAAATTTATATTACAAAGTTATATAAGTATCAATATGATCAAATCTATTTCTACACAAATAGTAGTTCAAATTCATAGAGTGATTCATACTCTAATTATATTCATGAATTAAAACCCCTAGATAATAGATATTTTTAATATTTTTGGTTTATAAAATTGATACTAATTATAAAAAAAAATGCAAGCATACTTGATTATCACCTATAGAATTATTGTCTAGTGTTCTATCCCCTACAAAGTTATTGTCTATATAATTATTGCCTACAAGCTATCACTTACTTTTATCAACCTACAATTACATGCATACTTGATAAATAAATTTTGAAGATCCTGTGAACTTGATAAAACTATAGTGCAATTGTCGTTGTTTTGTTGAATATGAGTTCTTAGTTGTCTTGCCTCTTTTGAATAGAAAAGTTCAAAATAACTTCTAATAACTATTCAATCCCTTTATTTAAGATAACTCTATTCAAGATAACTAACCACTTATTTCTTGTTTTAAGGATCTTGATCTTGTATCATGTAGACTATTTATACCTTCCATTCACAATCCATATTCAAGTCTCATCTACAATCAAGTTTGGCATGTTCTTCTTGATCTAAACTTTATAATTTTTTGATCAATTTTAGTGTATATATAACAATCCCCACTATTAATGCTCTCGAACGTATAATATCCAGGTATGGTTTTTGGCTACTATTGAGAAGATATATTGGTATAAAGTCCATCAAGAGAGTGGCCAGAAAGAAAGGTACAGAAGTCTAGCAATCAAAAGTGAAATACAGAAAATTAAAGCAGGGGAGCAAGTCCTCAAGCTTTAGCTTGTGAATAAAAAAATTAATTTATTCTATAGCTGGTGGGAAAGGCCCTATTCAGAGGAATAACCCACCATTCATATGTACGTACCATAAACATTTCATAAAGTTGTATATAGCTTGTGAAGACAGTAAATTATTTATTCTATTCCTTCTAAGCAGTATAAAAAACGTTTTCACATTTTGCTTCGTGACAGGAATTTCATTTTCAAGTTCATAGTGTTGCCCAATCTCCATAAATAAATCACTATCTCTATAAAATAATAAAACACAAATTTGTGGCACCAGGATTGGGAACGCAACTCAAGCTGGTTACACAGCAGCGTAGTCGGCAGACATTTACTTCAACAAACTTTGGGGCTGCAAGTTCTGTGTGAATGTAAGTTTACATGCTTTTGTTTATGCATTAATTTTTATATTACTGTTATTTTTGGTGGATATAAATGATGCTATTTATTTAAGTACTTGAAAGGTTGGCTTGAATGAATGATTTTTTTTTATATATATATATATATAAAATGTATCAGTTTGTACCTCAACTACTTTCAAATCATATATAGATTTCATGGATACATGAGATCCTAAATCTTACCACTGATCAGCCAGTTTATGTGGTTGAAACTTTGTCATGTTATGGCATATTATTTATGTAAAATTTGTTTGGTTCTTTATGATTTTGATACCCAGTGTGTTGAAAAATATTCCAAAATTTACAAAAATGTGTTTAACTTGTAAAAAAATGTGTTTAGCTAGATGAATCCATAATCTGACTTGGTAAAATTAGGCTTGAGACAAAATTCTTTTTTTTTTTTTTATTTTTTTATATAAATGGTGTTGTTTTGCACCAGTGAAAAAAGAACTTTAGTTTCTAAAATAGGCAGCCACAAGCAGTTTGCTTCTTCTCCCCGTCGGCTCTTTGTTCAATCTGCTTCTTCTTCTTAATCCATTTTTTTTTTTTTGTGAAAGGCTTAAATCCTTTTTTTATTGTATTTATATGCAAGAGTTGATACTATTTGGTTTATGGCATCTCTATACTCCATTTTTCATTTTCTGAATTAATTTACATGAGAAAATTTAAAAGTACTTAAATATATTTTTAAAAATATAAACTCTATTTTATATATAAAACGAAAAAATTATAAGTTTAAAGTTTAAAAAATTTATATAGTATTTATAGTTAATGATTTTTTATTTTTTCTTATTAAAGAAAAGAGACTGAACTCAGATGCGCTTGTCAAGGCATCATCTTTTAGTCTAGGTAAATTTAGGGTAATCAGCACCAAAATTAAAATTTGAAAACAAAGGATTCCATGCAACCCTGAAAAACAAAATTAATTTCTACCCTTTCCCAGATCTCCCTCCAGCCTGAACCATCCTAGCCAGACCCACCAGCCATGCCACTCTCTTCCTCCACACCATCAAACCAATGCCAAAAACCATCTGGAAACACCAGCCGTCCCTTTCTTCCTCCTTTCAAACTGATAGCCCATAAATCACCCGATCTTCTCCCAATATCCAAACACCTGATCTCCTCACTATTACTAGCAGGAGCACCGTAAAGAAACTGACGCCAAACCAGCCAAGAAACCACAGCTGCCCGTTTTCTCCTTCCTCCTTTGAAGCCGACATCAGCGGCCCCTCAACAGACCCTATCTCCCCCCAAAAACCCAGCCCCCGATCTACTCTCCGTTGCTACCAGTAGCCCCATATAACCCTGCCTTGCCTCTCTTTTCTCCCTCACAAACAGGAGACCCGCAACATATCCGAACTTTCCCCTCATCACAAGCAGCAACCTGCAACAAAAATTAACCCAATTTCGGCCATAAATTACAGCCCCATTCTTACCCAAAAAAACCACTGGCAGCTCAAAGGAGGAAAGTCTTCTCCAAATACTACAAACATACTAACCACTTCACCTATGGCCACAACTTCTAGGAACTAGTAAAAAAAACTAGATCTAGATCTGGAAAAAAAGGGGGAAGATGAACAAAAGGAAAAAAAAAATGTTAAAAAGATGTTAAGGGGCTTACTGCCGACTATATTTAGCCGAGGGCAGTCGACTATATTTAGCCGAGGGCAGCCCCCGTAAAGTTTTGTTCTCTCTTTAGTTTTTTCTTATTTGCTTTATAGAGAGAGGTCGGAGCTTCTCTCTCTAGAAAGCCATGTAACAGTGAGCGTGAGAGATAATATGTGTTTGTCCGTCTAGAATGTGAGACTAGGACTAACAATTCTATTTTCATATATATTAGGGGTTCATCTACGTTTTCCTTTTATTCATTTATTTTAATTCTTAAACTAAACGGTTATATATATATATATATATATATGTATGTATATTAGGAAAACGTAGATGAACCCCTAATATATATGAAAACAGAATTATTAGTCCTTGTATATAATGAGGAAAAAGAAAAAAAATGGTCCTTTTGTATGTTATTTTTAATTTTCTCAAGTTCGTTTTGTAACTATGCTGATTTATTTTTGAAAAATGTGTTTGCTAGGGACGTGTCGTCAAAGATTGATTTAGCCCATCTGTCTCAAGATATTGTAGAACTATGGAATGAATGGCAGATTCGGTCTTTAATGTTACTCAGTCTCCTTCTGCAAATCTTGCTCACCTTTGTTGGACAACGACGGAAGTATACTAATGGACGTTTGCTGGGGACTTTTCTTTGGGTAGCATACCTGTCTGCAGATTGGGTGGCAACTTTTTCGTTGGGTATCCTTGCTCGCAGCGAAGCTGACTCCGCAAATCCGAAATTAATTCCTGTGTTTTGGGCTCCAATCCTTCTTGTTCACCTCGGTGGCCCTGGAACTATTCCTGTTTATTCAATGGATCAAGCCAGTAAATTATTGATAGTTCGCCTTCTTCAGCTAGTAACCCGAGTTGGTGTGGCTTGTTATGTATTGTTCAGGTTATGGAACAACAATGTCATCACGTCGGTATTCATTCCCATCTTTGTATCAGGAATCATCAAATATGGTGAAAGGATTTGGGTTTTGACGAGAATCCACGTATACAATAATGTGTCGCCACAACCTTTTGCGGAAGTACATCGCATCAAGATTAAAGATATATTACCCTGCTACAAGAATACAAGAAGTGAGGTCATATATCTCCATGAATCTTATATTTTATATAAAACGTTCCAGGTACTGTCCAAGAATTTTGATCTCGTCAGATTGGATCAAAAATTCACCTATGATTTGGTTTCTAAAAAGGAAGCGGAGGAAGCCTTCCACTTGATAGAAGTTGAGCTGGGATTCAAGTATGATCGGCTTTATTCTAAGGTGACAAGGATTTCCAGGTGTCGCGTCATTCTCCGCTCTACCACCTTCTTATCATCTATTTCTGCATTAGTTTCCTTCTCAATAATGACAAAGAGCAGTAGTGTCTATTCGAAAAATGATAAGATTATATCTTACGTGTTGCTGAGTGGAGTTGTGTGCCTTGAAACTTATTCCATCATTATGCATCTCTTTTCCGACTGGACTATTATTTGGCTTACCAGTACTAGTGAAAGAGCTGGTGGTATTCCCCGTGGAATCAATTGTCTTTCTCTGTTACTAACATTTTGTAGGAAGTGCAAAAGATATTGGTCAGGATCTATGGGACAACACAACCTAATAAGTGCTCAATCAAACAACAAGCTTCTTAAGAAGTACTTTCCATGGATCATAGGGAGCATTGATAGCCGGCAAAAAGTGGGGAAGGATTTAAAAGAATTGATCTTCAAACAAGTCAAGGATAAACGTTCAAGGTACGATCCCGATATCAGTGATTTCACTTTCCTCAAGAATCTATTGAAAGAGAGAGGTCGCGAGGCACTTCAAAGCAAGGATTGCATCGGTAAATTTGGATGGAGTGTGGATGGTGTAGAATTCATTCATAGCCTCCTCACTTGGCACATTGCTACTCATGTTTGTTACTTATATGATTCTGATCAGAAGAATGGTTTTCACAAGAAGCGAAAAAGTGTAATATTGAACAGCACATTATTATCCGATTACATGTTGTATCTCCTGGTTAATTGTCCAACCATGTTAGCGAGAGAGCCCAGCGAAACAAGGTATGATGATACGAGAATTCATTTGCGTCGTCTCCTTTTCTGGAATACACATAAAGAAGTGAAGCTCAACATTTCCTTGGAAGAATTGAATGCATTATCGTTTCAGGAAGCTGAAGTGAAAGCCTTTTTCAAAGAATTGCTTCAAAGGCCGTCTGCCGTGCTAAAGGAAATTGAAGAACAAGACAAAGGAGAAATGTCAGCCCTACTAGATGGTTGCATGCTTGCTGTGTCTTTGCAGTCATTAGAGACACGGGATGGTTGGTCAAATGACAAGAAATGGGAAATGATAAGTCATGTGTGGGTGGACATGTTGATGTATGCCGCAAGTCATTGTGGATGGAAGCAGCACACTCATGCACTTGCCCGAGGTGGGGAGCTACTCACTCATGTCTGTCTTCTCATGGCACATCTCGGTTTAAGCAAGCAGTGTCGACCTGGAATAAATGAACAATTAGCTGATCGGTCTAGAAGGCTTGCTGGTATTCTTGAGTCTGAAAAACCTAGCTCCCTGGGTCTGAGGTATATTTCTGTGGAGTAGTGCTGTTATTTTTAATGCTTCAATAAGGATGGAACTTTCTCATGTATTGTTATACTATGCCTTTTTGCTTTATTTTGTTGTTTTGATGTATTGAAAGTTTGTAACCTTTTTTTTTCTCATTTCAGAACTGAAAATCTCATCACTGGGGAGAGGCCCCAGTCAATATGTATAACATATATGTCCTTTTGTAATGGATCAGTTCCAGTACATATGGTTTCAAGCTTGACTAAGAAGAATTTATTCTCGTTATTATTTTGGAAAATGTTGTGCTTTAACTTCTGTTTGTGCTTTTCATTTTTTTCACAAAATAAATTTTGTCTTGTTTTTCACTATTTTCCTTTTTATTAGAAGAGATCTTTTCATGTTTTCCCTCACCAGTGGTGGACACCTGCTCTTTGTGAAGGCCTTCAAAAGCCCATAAACTGACTAAAAGAACAAACCCTGTTGAGTCCAGAAATACAAAAGAGCCCAAAGTAAGTTCAAAGACGAACCCCCGAAGTACAGCACTTGCCAGTGGGGTAGCCGCTGACTTGCTCACCGGCGATTCAGTGACTTGACACCGGAAATCAACACCGTATTTAATAATCAATAGTTTCTGTCAAGAATAATAGCAAAAACTATTGATTATTAATAGAGAAAATTTAAGAAATTTCACCAACCAATTAAGCTCTCGAATGATTTTCCATTTTATTGGTACAAATTGTAATCCTACACTGAGGGACTTTTGATAAATTGGGTTCAAATAGGATCTTTACTAACATTTTTGAGATATCGGTTTTCATGAATATTTCAAATATTCTGATTGATTTCACTTTTATTATAGATTAGCGATAATCCAGAGATGAATTCAGCTATTATTATTATTTTTTTAATGAAATAGGTCTTCTTAGTTTTTACAACTATGACTTATATCCGGAGACAGACTATATTTAGTTATATGGTTCTGATTGTTTTCGCTAAATCTCCATGCATAATTAATTATCTTTATCAGGGATTAATTAAGGCACAAATTACTGATTGCCATCAAATCATAGGCTTCCACATTAGTCTTCTATCCGTGATCGCAATTTTAAATCCTTCTTGTTAATCAATAATTAGCACTCCTTGATTCTATATAATTTGAGCAATTTTCAGATAAGTAACCACTTTGTAAATGATAATTTCCTGATTAGAGTCTGAAATGTTCAAGTTGAATGAGTTTCTTTTCTTTTGTTTTTCAGCTTCATGATACAACTAATGGGACTAAAACGAATATTGACTCGATCCACAGCTCATATTATCTTCAAATATACAAACGAAGCCTGTCTGCTTTTACCATATCCTGATTTCAAGACCCATGGTTCTTATACCTTTTCACGTGATACTACCAAGAATTACCAGCTTATTAAATCCATATAGAAAATTCTAAAAGAGTAAAGACTACGAAAGTGTTCTTCTTCAATCAGTTTTTCCTTGAGCCACTTTTTAAATTCTTAATTAAGTTGCAGTACCTTCCATGGGGAGCAAGAAATTTATACTCATGTCCGAAGAAAGTCTGGAATATTTGTGATTCCTGATATGGTACTCAAAGTAGAGAGCTTGAAAAGGTTTTTTGGAACAGTGGGCATGAATGGTAACTAGATAAACATTTTATAGAATGTTGTAAATAATAAGAACAAAGTGAATTATGCTTTCTCTTTTGGAACAACCTTTATTATTATTATTTTTTCAATCTGATGAGAATTAAAGCAAAGAATTTGAGAATTACAAATATTTTGGGCAATAAAAGATAAAAACCTCTCTGTTCCTAATACTTAGTTTTAGCTAGTGATTAGAGAAAGTAATTTAGTCATTTATTCTATATAGTTTTCTCTCGCAAATAACCCTTAATATATATTATAAACCTTTCGTAAAGTTATATGTAGCTTGCGATGAGAGTAAATAGTTTATTTTAGGCAATATTTTAGGAAGTACATTTTCAAGTTGTAGTGTCACACAATCTCTAAATAAAACAAACAAAAAAAAATACATGGAAAAAAAATAATCTAAGGATTTTATTTGACCTGACCTGGACAAATACTCATGTCAAACTGTAATCAAGTTAACCCAAGATAAAATACGACTAAAAAATTTATTGATTTTTTTATTTATTTTTTTATTAAAACAAGATTGTTTTGATTTTTTTTATTTAGATCAATTCAGGTTGACCCTTTCAATCCATGACCTAAGCTTTATCCTAAGTTGATCCCAATGCAACAATATTATTTATTAGTTTTCCCATATTTATCTATAATTTTACTTATGTTTTATATATAAAATATTTTGATATTTTTTGTTTTAAGTTATGAAGGTATTTTTGGATGTAAGATTAGAAAAGAATAATTTTGAGAAAAGATTCAAATCATGTTCCAACATGTGTCAAATATTAACAGATATGACCTTCAATTAATGTTTTATGCAGAACTTAAATTGTAGAGATTGAAATGAGGTGATTCTATTGGCATTAAAAAACTAACATCTATATCTTTCTATACATATATGGCAAGAGAAAAGAAGAAGAAAGAGCATGAATATCGCAGCCTTTAAAAACAAGTTTTGTATTTTGCTATTTTTTATCTTTAGTCATTTCGACTTGAATATCTTGAATTAGAAAAATTTATTTGATACAAACTTAATTTTTTTTTTTATTCTTAACTCAAAGACATATCAACATACTAAATTGTAGCAGAAAAAAGCTCATATGAGAGAGATGATTTTTCTAAGATAACCCATAAATTCTATCAATAGACAAATTTTATGAAGAAATAAGTCCAACTTACTTATCAAGTATCCAAAATGATATGACAATTTTTTATTCATATGAAAGAGGTCTTTATTTGATCAAATAAACTTTACTAAATTTAAAGTAAAAGCTTAAAGATTTTATGCAAACCTATTATTTTTACTTTTCAAGAAAGTAGTTATTGAACTATTTAAATATAAATTGTCTATTTTGAAAACAACTCCTACTTTTTTAGAGGATACAAACGAACTAGTAAGGGTGTGGTGAAAAGGGTTTTTCTATCAAATAAAAAGGAAAGCAAGAAAAAAAAAAAGGGTGGCAACCAGAAAGAAGAAATAAATTAACTCTAACCTTTTTTCCTATACATGAAATTATCTTTTTATCTTTTCTCTTTCTTAGTTTTTCAATAGTCATGTAAAACTAAGTTATTTTTTTGGTTGAAAGGATATACAAGACTTCAGTTTTTAAAAATTATGAGATATATTTTATTTTTTTCTTTTTAGTTTTGTTGCTACTCAATTTTCAATCCTATTTTGAAGTATTATTTAGGGGAAAGAAAACAAAAAAAAAAAAAAACAATGAAAACCAAAAAAATATATTCTTAATATATTTGTATTATTTTTAACATTTTTAATGTTAATTATATCAAAAAGATTCGAATTTTAAATATTTTTTTAATGTGTTGAACTTTTAACGTATTATTTTTAAAATAATTAATTTTACTCATTGAATTAAATTAACATTGATATTATTTATTTTAAAAAATAAAAATACAAACGTTAGGCCAAATAATTAGAGAACAAAGATAAAATTTTTCAGAGTGGAAGGTAGCCATAAAAAAAAAAAAAAAACCATAACACAAAAAACCTTACCCTATTTTTCTTTTGGCAATTGTGCCGGCACCCCCTCCCTTTGCCACACCAGAGCCCCTGCAGTTATGCTAACCTTCCCTCAGTTAATATATTAAAATTCAACTTCTAGAATTTAGCCTCTAGCTCTAGAAAACTGGATCAACGCCTTATTGGCATAAGATCAATTATTGCTGTTCATTATTACACGCAAGAGTTTTGGAACAATTGAAATTCATGGTCATGCCATATGCTAATTCCGATTAAGAAAAGTACAAAATACAAGTACTATTAACTTTAATGTGCTGCCCAATCATTTAAAGATTTGGCTTAATTGCGACAAAAGAGATATATTCTCACTTTTTTTTCTCTTTTTGAGTAGCCCCCGGTAGTTTTAATTTAATTTTTGGGTAGTACGTAATGCATGGGGTGTAAAGAAAATTCAAAATTTGTTTGATTCTAGCATATGATTTTGAAAGCCTTGTGTTTAATTTTGTTTGATGGAGTTGGCTTGCGAAAAGAAATCGTAAACAACTATGTGGTAATTTATTCTCTTTTTTTGCTCAATTTCTTACACTTTTCTTATAGTCCTTTTTTTAAAAAAAAAGTCTTAGCTTGAGACAAGACAAAGTAATTTATTCGTGTTTTTTTCCCTGTTAAAGAATAAGCTTTGATTTAAGTTGTAAGTTTTTAAATTCCTTACGTGCAAATCTTTCTCTAACAGCTAGCCCATCGAAGCTTTAACTTGTGATGAAAGTAAAATATTTATTCCATTTTTTCTTACAATTAACAACCTATGATTTATTTGCTAAAATATATGCATACAAGTTCCCATTGTTACATCATCCCTTTGAATAAACACACAATTTGGTGGCTGGGAAATTGAAGCATTGTTCTTCAGGTATGTTAATGAGATATGAGTTAATGTGTTTATCTTCCATTTCTTTTAATTAATCCTGATAATTTGATTTGTTCAGCATAATTAAGGGAGCTCAAACAGGAAATTTGTGATTTATTCTTTTTTAAAATTTATGCATTGCTTGAATTATAAACACGTCTACGTAAATTATTATGTAATTACTAGCATTTTCCTTGATGTTTCTTTAGTTCAACATCATTTAAGCTGGTTAGAAGTTAATGTGCTCAAAATGTTTTTTTTTTATTTTATTTTGGTCCAACTGAAGGAAATCAAACATGGGCATTCATTCAAAATGTATCTGAAAGTGTTCAAAAAATAGATTTTCTTTCCTATCATAACCTAAATTAATTTGATTCCCTTAAAGACTAGATGGCACTATAATTTGCTACTAAAATAATAATATTAATTAGTAAATTGCTTTTATGAATAATTATTTAATCAAATATTTTAATGATAATTAAAAATATATTTTTTCGAAGGGAAACACTAATTCCACATAGGATTTTCCTGAATCCTAGGTAACTATAGTACTATGCATCCCTTTTCATTTATCACTAATGCGCTTCCCATAGCTTAATTGTTGACAAAATATGATGAACTTTGGTTTTATGAGTTTTTTAGTTTTTATTTACTTGAATTTATTTAATGTCAAGGATCATAAATAATTTGAACCTAACAATCTAACTCCTAGACTTTGAACCATAATTAATATATAATCAAAATATATACTTATCAATAGTAAAATTAATAGCCATCCAACATTTTTTACTCACTATTCTAATATTACACGTAGTATACACTATTACTGTTCTTTATATAATCTTAAATTAAAAACTTTAAAAGATTGATTGATGTAAGTTCGTGAGAAAAATAAATAAATATATTGAAAGAAGTTAGCTCTTTAATTGTAATAATTATATATGACATAAGTTTTTATAAAATTTTGTGTACATTATTTTGATTTTAGTTTATTGAAAACTCGTGATTGTTTCGTTCACTAAAAATCAAAATCTAAACTTCAAATAATTATTTTAAGATCATAATATGTTTAAAAATAATTAAATTTTTTTATATAAAAATATATAAGAAAGTTATAATTATGTTTTATATTTGAAGTTTTGATCTAAAATAAATTTTATTAATTGCATATTAAACTATGCAATTAACTCCTTGACTTATCAATAAAACTTCAATTATTATTATTATTATAAACTTCAATCACATTATATATATTGTGTGTGTATGTGTGTATTCTCTCTATGATTATCCAAAAAACAATCACATTTTTTTTATAAAGATTCTGGGATTTTATTTTAACACAAGGTTATACATCATTATTAAACCAATACAATTCAAGAATTACAAATGTCATTTAAGTATATTCATTATTATTATATGGAAATTTTAATGTTCCTTTTAAAGAATATATTAAGATTTGTTTTGATTTTTTTTATTCAATAATTTTATTTTTTAGTAGGAAGTAAAGAGAAAACATTTATATCTTTCACAATTTAACGAAATATTTTTGGAAAATTTTAATGTATTTGGAAGAGGAAAAAATACATACCAAAAACAAAATCCCTAGTTTTCCTATAAATAGAACTAAATATTAAAATCTAGGTTTATAAGGAAAAAACTGAAGCACGTATGATATTTGTGAAATTGATGTGTAAAGAGATTTTTTTTTCTCTAATACTGATAGGATAAATATTAATATCCATGTTTATAAAGAGAAAAGGAATAAAAAAAAGGGGTGGCTTATTCGTAAAATTGATGTGTAAAAAGATTTTTTTTAATTCCCCTATAAATCCTGATAGGACATACCCTCATTTTTAGACATAAAAGTGTTTTAGAATTCTCATTTTGTAAGAACCAATAAGAGAATAATTAATTTATCATTATTTCATTTTTCATAATTTAATATAATATAGTAGCAACCAGTCAAAAAATATTTTTCATAATTGAATATAATACGGGCCAGTCAAAATGATTTTAATGATGGACAAAATGAGAATACATTTGAACACTCAAAAACTTATTCTATATATATATATATATAAGGACCTTTTTTATTTTAATAAATTTATATTTGTTAAACATGTATGATTTTCTAGTTTCCCCTAGAAATGTTTTTTACGATTAATTAAAAGAATAAAGATGGAAATTATTAGAAAACTATTTGGTGAAAGTAATTTAAACCCGACCAGATCTCTGATTAAGAAAAAGTAACTCCAATGTAATTTATTATTTCAAACTATTTTTTGGCTTATTTCAAAACAAAATACTAGGCTTGGCTTCTTAAATGAATTACTTAATTTAAAATTGCTTTTTTTTTTGTTATATTTTACAAGTCGTGGGATATCTCCATTGCTTGAAACTGACATTTTTTATTAGTTTTCTTTAATTAAGTTAATTTTGGCTAATTTCAAAACAAAATACTAGGTTAATTTATTTTTTAATTTTTTATTTAGTTATCTTTAATTAAGTTAATTTTGGTTTGTTTGGAACTATGCTGATTTTGTGCGGATTTATTTTGTAAATTTTTTGTTGTTATGCCCTAGTCATCAACGATGGATACGCTTCGAATATTGATGTTACTCAGTCTCTTTCTGCAAACTATCCTCGCCATTTTTGGTCGTCGGCGGAAGTGCTTTACTGGATTCTGGCTTCGTTCTGTTGTTTGGTTAGCATACTTGTCAGCGGACTTGGTGGCAACTTTATCATTGGGTATCCTAGTTCGCAGCCAAACCAACTCTGCAAATCCTAACATGATTCCTGTTTTTTGGGCTCCAATCCTTCTTCTTCATCTTGGTGGCCCGGAAACTATTACGGCTTATTCATTGGCAGACAATGAATTATGGCTAAGGCGCCTTGTTGAGCTAGTAATCCAAGCTGGTGTGGCTTCTTATGTCCTGTTCAAGTTATGGAGCAAGGATACAATCATATTTGTAGCCATTCCCATCTTTGTTTCCGGAATTATTAAGTATGGGGAGAGGATTTGGGCTTTCAGGTTAGCAACCTTAGAGGATTTTAGCATCAGAAGAGAATATATATCATCCAGCAGCAGAAGTGCATATGAGGTCAGAATTGTTCGTGAAGCTCGTCTTTTGTTCAAAGCGTTCCAGAAGCTGTCCACAAATTTTCTTGTCTTCGATTTTGATCAAACCAACACCTATGAATTGGTTTCTAAGAAAACTGCGGAAGAAGCCTTCCAGTTGATAGAAATAGAGCTGGGATTCCTGTATGATCGGATTTATTCTAAGGTGACAGAGATTTCTTGGCTACGCGTCATTCTCCACTCTATCACCTGCTTATCCTCTATTTCTGCATTAGTCTTCTTCTCAATAATGACAACGAGAAACAACGTCTATTCAAAAAAGGATACGATGATATCTTACTTGTTGCTGGTTGGAGCTGTCTTGCTTGACTGTTATTCTATCACTGTGCTTCTCTTGTCCGACTGGGCTGTGATTTGGTTTACTAGTAGTAAATTAGTGGGCGATTTTCTGTATCGAATCAATTGTCTTTCTCCGTTACTATCATTTTGTAGGGAGCAGAAAAGATGGTCAAGATCTATGGGACAACACAACTTAACAAGTGCTCAATCAAACAAGCCATTGAACGAGCTTCGTAAGCAGTACTTCGCAGGGAAATGGAACATTCATAGCCGGGTGGATGTGGACGACGTTTTAAAAGAATTGATCTTTCAACAAGTCATGGATAAACGTTCAAGGTACGAACGTTTAAGGTACGATCCCGATACCAGTGATTTTCTAAAGCTATTGGAAGAGAGAGGTTACAATGCGCTTCAAAGATATGATTGTTTCGATAAACTGGGATGGAGCATGACTCATGTAGAATTCAGTCAAAGCCTCCTCATTTGGCACGTTGCTACTCTTGTTTGTTACATTGACGATTCTCGGAATAATAGTTTTGCCAAGGGACGAAATTGCGTAATGAGCAGCAGATCATTATCCGATTACATGTTGTATCTCCTGGTTTATCGTCCAGCTATGTTAGCGATAAAGCTCAGCGGAACAGGGTATGCTGAAACTACCACTCATTTGGGTCGTCTCCTTCGCAGGAATACCTTAGATGAATTGCATGCGTTATTTCTCGAAGAATTGCTTCCAGATCTGCCTGCCATGTTAAATAAAATTAAACTTACAGACGCAGGAGGAATGTCAGCCCTGCTAGATGGTTGCGTGCTTGCTATGTCATTGCAGACACTGGATGGTTTTCCAAATGAAAAGAAATGGAAAATGATAAGTGAAGTGTGGGTGGAAATGCTGATGTATGCTGCAAGTCATTGTGGATGGAAGCAGCATGCTGATGCACTTGCTCGAGGTGGGGAGCTACTCACTCATGTGTGTCTTCTCATGTCACATCTCGGTTTAAGCAAGCCATGTCGACCTGAAGTAAGTAAACAATTTTTAGCTGATCAGTCTAAAAGGCTTGATGATCTGTCTGGACGTCAATGGGTCTATGAGATTCCCCTTGCTTAGCTAGTTAAGTCCTCTTGGGGTTTAGTTTTATTTTGTTGTTTGGATGTATTGTAACTTTTCCTCATTTCCGCTGCTTGGTCATTAAAAACATTGCTTGTTCTTAGTCTTTTAGACCTTTCGTTATCTTGTTTTCTTGGCATCTTTTATTAATAACACAGGAAAAATTAACAAATCGTCAAACACTATTTTTACTTTCTCTTGAGGCGGATCTTTTCCAGTTTCCCTTTACCAAATGTGGTCACCTATTACATATGAATTGACGTGAGCTTGTGATAATGGATGATTTTTAGTAGTTATGTGTGGATCTATCATAAATAGATGGGGATTTGCCCCAAACAAAATGTATAGATGGCTTAGCAAATTTATAAATAATAAATAATTTTTTTATTTGATTTTTTTAGCGATCTAGATCAATTTATTTGACCCATGATATGATGATTAGACTAGTTGATCATAGGATGGATTTCAAAACTATACTAAATATCATGTAAATATATCAAAAATGTATTATTTTTGTTTTTTTTGCTATTTTGATTTTTAAAAAAAATTATTAGAAGATTGAGTCAAAAAATAGATAGCAATAATTTTTATGAGCTGTGATAAAAAATTTAAAGGATACAAGTTGTACAATCCTAATAAAAAACAATTGTGGTTAGAATAGATGTCAAATTTGATGAAGAATGAGAATAAAATTGGAAGGTAGATAATAATAAAAAAAATATGATTTTCTACTAGTTTCAATAAAAAAGAATGAGAAATATAAAGATCACAAAGAATATATAGTCACACCATTATAAAAATTAATAAGCTTAACTTCACCTTTATTTTCTTCCTTTTCTTTTAGTAAAAGCTCAAGTAGTGGCAACTTACTAAGTCCATCAAGAAAAATAAGGAGCCTTAATTATTTATATAAGATAATTAATTTTATTGATGATGATGTAATACTATATTGTCACCTAGCTACATGTGATTCTATAGTATTTGAATAAGCTATAAAGGATGAAAGATAGAGAATTGCTATAGAATAGAAGATTGTATCAATTGAAAAAAAATAACAAATAAAAATTGATTTCTGGACCAAAAAAAAGTCAATAAGTGTCAAATGGATCTAAAAAAAAATATTAAATGAAAGGTGAAAAGATACAAGGTGAGAATAATAATAATAAAAAAGAAACTATAGTTAAAATCAATGAATTAACTATGATGAGGTAATTAACTATGATGAGGTTTTTTCCTTAATTTCTAGATTGAAATAGTTACAAATGCCACAAAAAAAAAACCTATAAAAATTTATGTGGATAACTCAATAGTTATTCCTTTAACAAAAGATGCAGTATTCCATGTTCCATGATAAAAGTAAATATATTAACATATGATTTTATTACTTACGAGACTGTATTAAAATATAAAAAAATTAAAATCAAGTATGTAAAGTTTTAAAACTAAGTTGTGAATATTTTAATGAAGTCACTTAAATATGATGTTTTTGTTAAGATAAGAGATATGCCGGGAGTTATAAAGAAATCAAGTTTAAGGAAAAATATTGAAAATAAACTATATTTTATTTTCTTTAAAAATTATAAAGAAATAGTCTATTAATTAAATTAAATAAATCAGTTAACCGGTCCATAATAATCGGTTGTGCAAAAGATCCTAGTCGAAATTGTGTAATGAGCAGCAGAAGATTATCTAATTACATGTTCTATCTCTCGGTTGACCTTCCAACTATGTTAGGGATGGAGCTCAGCAAAACAAGGTATACTGATACGACCATTTATTTGTTTCTTCTCCTTTTCTGGCATACTCATAAAGAAAGGAAGCACAACACTTTCTCAGATAGCTTGGATGCATTGCTTGGCAAATGATCTGTTCAGGAAGCTAAAGTGGATGCATTTTTCAATGAATTGCTTTGAAGTCCGTTCACCATGTTAAAGGAAATTGAAAACATAATAATATTTAACGAAGATTAAGTATATTAATTTATGATCAAAACTGAAAACACTATTGATTAGTACTTAAAAGTGCATTTTTATCAAGGTTTTATATCATCATTTTGCACTTGAAGTATCAATAACTCCTTAACTAAAATATGTTTTTATAATAATGTATCTAATAATATAAGATACCTATAATTTGTGGTAAATGTCTATTTTTAATGCAGGCCTATCACATAAATGAAAGGATTGATTGATGAATTTAAGAACTGAAATTGAAAGGATAAAGAGATGGCCAAACTTAGAAAAGAGATGTCGATGCAATCCAAACCGGAACACTGTTCGGTAATTAGGTCATATCTAGAGCTATAGATCTCAGATTTATGTCTACTTTATATGGATGGAAAGGTAAGACATAGGCCTACAACTTTCATATAGAGCCCAAGATCTAAAAAGGTCATTTTCAAGTCCAAATTGTAGCAATAACAAAGAAGCCTGAATCTGTCCTCCAGCCCGAGCACTGTTCAGTATTTTAGCCATATCTGGAGTTCTCAAAGTCAAAATGAGCTAAAATTTTTACACAAGAAAGCTGAGACAATTGCCTACAACTTTCATGTTTTCAAATGGCTCCAATTTTGACGTTATCAATGACATTTTAGGCAGACAAGAGAAGATAAGGATTGTCAACAAGCATGTTTGCAACTGGCTCCATTTTTGACGTTATCAATGACGTTTTGGGCAGACAAGAGAAGATAAGGATTGTCACCAAGTCAAGAGTTGGCCACCCACTCATCAATTAGTCATCAAATCAATAGTTCCCAATTTTGGCCTATAAAAGGAGGCATTTGCCATGCATTTAGGCATCTTGGTTTCCAGATCAAGATCATTCTCTTCCTTTCTCTCTTTGTATTTTTTATGCTTTGTTTTCATTAATATTAAGTTTATGCCTTTCATTTCCTTTCATTTTCTTAGTTAACTTTTATCTTATTTATGTTCTTATTTTGTTTATTTATTTTTCTTTCTTTTATTATGTCTAGCTAAGTTTATTTTGTCAAGGTGAAAAGGTTACACTAATGGTGTAAGAATAAGTATAATGTAAACTTAATATGGACTTTAATGTTTGATACTAACATGTTTTATATTTGTTATCTTGTTCACTCTTTAATACTTTACTTGTTAAATG